CGTGCACGGGAGCTGGGCTCTCCTCCGGGGCAGGGGAATGAGCCGCGGGAGCCACGCAGGCATCTTCAGGGGATGAGCTCCCCGCTGCTGGGAGCATCCAAGCGAGAGCTGGAAGGCCGCGGGGTGGGACACGCGAAGGGATTTCCTGCGTCCGATGGGGCTGGAGAACCGTGGCTCTCGCCCCTCCTTTGGCCTCCCCGGCCCCGCCAGCCCTGACCGTTCTGGCTGAGGTCCTTCCTGACTCTCTGAGTCTCCTCTGACCCCGGAAGGCAGGGCCTCCGGAAGGCGCCTGCCTCACTCGCGGCTCCTGCAAAACCCCGTGTCCAGGGTGATCCGTGAGGGGTTAAATGGTGCCCTGTCGGTCCCGACAGACACACAGACGGACAGACACCACGGCACCCAGACCCCCTTCCGTTTCCTCTCCCCCTTCCCGTGGGTATTTCTGTCCTTTAAGGCCACCAACCCCTCGGATGTGTGAGGCCTGCAGCCGCCCCTCCCCCTGCAGGATTCTGCTCCCTTTCCCCTCCCCAGCCCCCACTCCTGGGCCTGCCCAGGGCAGGGGCGGGATGACAGTTTCCCTGTTAGTGATCCCAAAATGCAGGGATGTCCGAGGCCCAGGCCCTCTGAAGTGGGGTGACCGCTCCCGGCCAGGCCCCCTCCCGTGACCGTCTCCCCAGGCCCTCCCCACACGGCTGGGCCATGTTCGCTCCTGCGTGTCGGGCACACAGGCGTGTCCCTGCCCCGCTGTGACGTCATCACCACCAGGCCCCTCAGGGAGCGCCCCCACTGAGCTCTGATTCCCCCCCAAATCGGGGACCGCACCCCAGCCCGTCCTTCCCGGGCATCAACATCACAGGATTCGCCCCAATCCTGGTCGTGTCTGTATCTGGACCTAGAACCCGAGTCCCCTTGGCCCTGGTTCCCCGCCTCCTGCCGGGCCTGCGGAAGGCTGGTTCCCGCGGGAGGAGCAGCTGCAGGAGGGCCCCGCGGCCCCCACCCCTGTCCAGGTCAAAGGCCGTGGAACCCAGAACCTGAGGGACAGGGTCGGCCGGGAACCTCCCATGGCCTCAGTTTCCCCACCTGCAGAATGGAGCTGGTCTATAGATGTGAGCCCGGCCGCTGTCCCCCCCACCCTCCTTGCTTAGCTCTACAACGAGGAGATCCTGGACCTCTTCGACGCCACCCGGGACCCCGACGCCCGCCACCGCAGGTCCAACATCAAGATCCACGAGGACGCCAACGGCGGCATCTACACCACGGGCGTCACTTCCCGCCTCATCAGCTCCCAGGAGGAGGTGGGCGTGCCCCGGGGTCAGGGGTCAGGGGTCGGGGCAGGCAGGG